CAGTAATATTAAATTCGCTACTTTTTTTGTAAAGGTCGTTTTATTTGTTTATAATATAGTTATTACCCAACAGAAGACAACACACCATATTTACAAGCTCGTAATAGAATTGGTTTTATAGGTCAATTAAGTTCAGGAACAAACACACAGCAGTCAGTTTAACGTGGCGGATTAATGACGGATTAAATGATTAGCCATTACAGGCAGAGCAAGGAAGCCTAACTAGAGGTTTTAAATAGAACTTTATCTTCGTTCTATGATGGTAAACGATTGATAAGAATTTATAAAGAAACGAAATTGATGCTTAATTAATTATTATATTTTCGGCTTACTCGCGTAACCATTTGACGAGGAACTCGACTAGTTTCAAGCCATGCTAGAGGTTCATAATCCTCATATTATATGATCATAGTAACAGCGCAACAGTCGTCGCGTGTCGCAGAATGCTCCTCATGAATATGAGCTTCCAGCATGGCTTGAAACTAGTCGAGTTCCTCGTCAGTTACGTGAGTACCTAATCTTTAAACACAATAATTAATTTAGTATGTCTCACGTTAGTTTTAATAAAAACATTGATGTATGCTCCACGTAAAAATGATTTATATGAAAAAGGTTAAAGGTTTAGATTTGTCAAAGGACGTTAAAAATGGCGGATATAATCTCTTAAAACAACGACTGTGGCACCTGGCTACTATAGACTTACACGCAGAATACACACACATTGATACGAAGGACATCTGTCGCGTGACATGGTCCGTCATTACACTTCATCTTCTTTATACGTGAAACAACGCTTGCGATGTGCTCCGTCGTGTGACTGTGGCTACCGGAGGCTCAATTGCTTGATTGATTTATGAATTAATGACTATTAATAGCTGAAAGTAATTAATTTTTTACTGATCTATTGACTGTATTGTTTGAATTTAATTAATATATAATTTGGCTGAGACATACCCAATATGCATGCATGCCCAATGGGTAGAACAAAGAGATATATACCTAACTCAAATAAAAAACACCATCTACCGGGGGGGCTCCGGCTCGAAGTGCAGGAGAAGGAACCTGGTGGTTTTTAGTCAGTAAGAGTCTGACACTCCCTCCCGCCTCACCCAGGCGGGAGCAGTCATTCGATGATTTTCCCCCCTTAAAAAAACGAAAATTTATTTTGTCCATTTTTTATCAAATAAACCATTTAATTAGTACACTATTTTAAAGAAAATGAAAAAACGACATTCCAAGTTTATTTTTCCACTGTATTTTAAACGTTCTCCTCACAAAACATAATATCTCAGTTAAATATTACTTTTTAGTCAATTCCATATTACAAAATTCCAATAATCTTGACTTCTAAACACGCCACAGACTAAATATTTAAAAATTTATAATCAATCGTGCAAATCGCTCCAAACTCAAAATTAAAGATACCTATTTTCTTTTCACAGGTTTCACGCACACATAAATACAGTACTTATATTTTGATGCTTCAATCATTTGTACACTGAAAAAAGTATTTTACAAAACTAGTTGAGTTAATTCACAAATAACCAAACCTTGATAAAAGACAAACGAATTTCATTTACGTATTGATCAACTGCTTCTGTAGCATTTTACAAAAATATTTTTGTTATTTGAGTTGGTTATAAGCTACAAAATTTTATGTTATCCAATACAAAATTCGGTTTCGGCACTTTGCAACATAATATGTTTGGCTTTACTCTACACACTTGTGAATTTACAGTTGACCCAACTAAAACTATTTTTTTAACGAATAGTTGCTGTTTTTCAAGTCTGCTATATTAGTTTGTTACCAGCTAAATAGTATTGTTGAGATTTGTTTTGCAAAGTTACTAAAAATAAACAAAAAATTTGGCTGAGATCAACCAATATTGATTATGTTGGTTTTAGAGTATTTTTGGTTATCAATAATACAGCAATATAATAGGTGGTGAATAAAGTTATGCTGGGCATAACAAAACGTTTTGGTTACATCAAACACTAACGGTCACGGAAGTAACCTGTAGAAACCTGTTCTTCTCGTGTTGCGTTGCGAGG